TTGCTCCATTTACCACAACCCTCTGCACCCTTGCAGGGTTTTTAATCTCATCAGAATTCATGCTTAGCTTTAATTTTGATTCAAACATTGGATTTAAGAGCAAACTATATCTTCAGTGTTACTGCAGTCCACTGAAGGCTTTGCAGGTCTTTTACATGGAAGTATATGAACCTCCTATGCTAAGTTTGGAGAAGAATTGCTCTTCAAATTGTTGTACTTTTTAGCTGCCTTCATTACTTTATTTGAGAAGTAGTTGTCTTCAAAAACAAAATCTCTGAAAATATGATTACAGTAAAATAATGAAAAAAAATATAGTGAGAATTGCATCTGTTCATCTAAAGTTACAAACATTACAGAGATGAAACATCAGGGAAGAGGCAGTCCCATAATGGGATTCTGTGCTGATGTTTCCACTGATCTTCTGTGTATTTCTTAGCACTTATTATCATTAGCTAACATTGAATTTCAGTGCTTAGTTTAAGAAAATGAGGAGTTTGATCACACACAATAATTTTTCTTCTGCTGAACTTCACTCCTTCAGCACCTTCAGTTTTTGTTAAAACACAAAAGGTGAAAAATAAGGCTGCATTTTTATCATGTATATTTTTTCCCTTAAAAAAAGGACAAGAAGTTAAAATCTTCATTAATGGCTTTATACTTCTAAAAGCTGAAAATATATCACACTGCAAAATGCAGTACAGTAATGGCATGACCGATTTTGGTTGTTTCTGATACTTCTCCATTCTCTTTCATTTAAGAGACTGCTCCAGTTTCAATAGTTGAGCCAAACAGTACTATGCAGCCTCTTCCATGCTCTTTGGCTTGCCCCCTCTCCCTACACCTTAATTAATAGGCCAGTGCTTCTTCCCTATTGCCTCACAGGTTTTTAATGAGTATCTGGTGGGTGCCCATTTTATGCTCCTAACCAATGCTAGATCTGTGTCATAGAAAGTCTGCTGCTGCTGGCTAGTTCAAGGCTACTTTCACTGGGTAACCTTTGGTTATTATCAGTTACTACAGTTTCAATATTTTTTTTCAATTGTCTTTGCTACTCCTGCAATTACATATCCACGAAAAGAAAGCAGGTTTTTGTATGCTCCTAAATTCTTGTAACTGTTCAAACATTAAAGAAACAGGTTCTGTGCATTTAAAAATTTTCAGCTGTTCTAGTAATTCAAAAAATTAACATGATACAGTGTATTGGAGTGTTCCCACTACCACTGGTTTTGTACATTATTTTATTTTAAATTCATCAACAGTTTGTCACTAATAATTCCTTTTAAGCCTTGAAAAGTTGCTTTAACATTTTTTTGTTTAGTTTTTTGATAGCAGGACACTATTAACAGTTACTGCTTATTATATAGGAAGTTAGCCACATACATAATTTCTCTGATTATAGATTAAAAAATGGCTCTTGAACCATTTGGGAAGACTAATGTCAATGTTGGTGGACTGAGATTTGGTTATATTGTATTCTGCTAGCTGTGCTAAAATGAAGAGAGAGTCCAGCGTAGGGCTACAAAGATGATCAAGGGAGTGGAGCATCTCCCTTATGAGGAGCGGCTGAGGGAGCTGGGTCTCTTTAGTTTGCAGAAGAGGAGACTGAGGGGAGACCTCATTCATGTTTATAAATATTTAAAGGGTGAGTGTCACGAGGATGGAGCCAGGCTCTTCTCGGTGACAAACAATGATAGGACAAGAGGTAATGGGCACAAGCTGGAACACAGGAGGTTCCACTTAAATTTGAGAAGAAACTTCTTCTCAGTGAGGGTGACAGAGCACTGGAACAGGCTGCCCAGAGAGGCTGTGGAGTCTCCTTCTCTGGAGACATTCAAAACCCGCCTGGACGCCTTCCTGTGCAACCTCATCTAGTTGTTCCTGCTCTGGCAGGGGGATTGGACTAGATGATCTTTTGAGGTCCCTTCCAATCCCTAACGTTCTGTGATTCTGTGATTCTGTGAAGATGGTAGCCAGCACCAGTCCATAGCAACTGATATGAAGAGTATAGATAGAAATTAAATTGCTAAAAACTTTCCAGATTGACTTCAATCCCTTAATAAAAGTGTAAAGGAAAGTGCAGGAAAAATCAGCTATTTTCTAAAAGAGAATTGAGAAGATTAATTCAGAGATACAAAAGCTTTATATATGTATATTGTGAATAAAAAGATACAAGACAGTTACAAGCAATTTAAAATCAAATCACTTGCCTGTTAGAGGCTTTATCTTGTTTTAGGATAAATAAAGGTGCAGATTTAAAAAAATACACCTGCATAGCTCCTTGTTACTGGTTTTTTTTTAACAGAATGTCTTTTCTAATCGGTGTACGATAATCTTGGAAGTGGCATAAGGCTTTTCAACTCACTCATTGTAGAACTGTCTATGTGGGTATGCAAAAATCTGTGTAGAGCTAGTCTAAATATTTAATAAATAAAGTTAAATTGTAAGGGAATTAAGAAATATATAAGGTTGGAAATACATTTGCAGTAACAATGAATAGATATACCACTAGAAATATAAAAAGCTGTAAGATTGAGGTTTTTCTTGCTTCTCCAAGAAAGTGGATTTTCTTCTTTTCTTCCTGGGTCCTGTTTTCAAAAATTGTCTTGAGCAAGTAATTTTTCCCTGAATTTATCTTTCTTTTTTCAGTAAGACTTCTTGGCTAAATGCTTTCTTGCTTTCCTTGTAAGGGGATTTGTTGCTTCACAAGTGAGTTCTCTTAATTAATAGCAAAGCTTTGATTTCCTGCTTATTTTTTTTGTTTGTGGTTTTTTTTGGGTTTTTTTTAAAGAAAAACAAAAAAAATCTGAAAGTCTAATGGAATGGAAATTAAGATCAGGAATGAGGAGAACTTTTCCATTACAGAGGCTTTGCTAATTAAATGATTGAGCCACAAACCAAAATACACTGTTAAAACCGCTTTGTTAGTTTGTGTGACCTTTAGAAAAGAATAATGCTTTCTTTTGGTTTTGGGTAATAGTCTTCAGAAATGTACTACTTTTCAGAATTTACATAACTCCCTCACTCATCTTCATGATTATGAAGCATAGTGACTTTTTTGAACCCTTTTTGGCATCCTGAGTTTTTATGTAGTCAAAGACTTTGCAGTTTGCTTGCTTTCATCGTATGTTTGGAAGTGCTGATTGTGACTTCCTTCATTTAGTTGTATATAAGTTGATGTGTTGTTTTGTCTGTGAAGGTGACATGCAAAAGGGACGCTAGTCTGAATGTTCACACTTGATTTTTTGGTATATGAAATTACGAAGTCTTGTACACAACTGGAAACTAAAAAATAATTTCTGTTTAGACAAAGTATCTTTTCAGTTTGGCATGGGAGTGTTTTTTGCTTTGAATGAAGGTTTGATTGCAACGTGATGGAAGTCTAATGGTTAGAATATGTATATATTGCCTTTTCGGCCTGAAAGAGGAGAAAATTTTGAGATTCTTAGTTCAATTTATTAGTCGCTGAACTAATGGGAGAGGTTTTTCTAGGAATCTCAGTAAACAAATGCTTCTGGTTGTCTTCAACTTGATGCCTAGTTATGGGAGGTGAAGGGTTAAAGAGCTTCTACTTTGACGTAGGAAATCTTAGGTCATTTAATGTGCTTGAGTGCAATTGGTGAATAGCTTTTCTAAAACCCCACAGTTGCTGAGAAGTTAACTACATTAAGGTTTTTACAGTGTGAAGTGATCATCAGTTTATGGAAATTCCGTGCGCTTTGTGTTTCTGATCTGAAAAGACTTTATTTTTCAAGCAATATAACCAAGATTTCTAGATTATTTACTAGTTATCAGTTTGCCTCATAGAAAAATACATACTGCTCTGTGATGATGTTCGTTCTTCAATTAATTCACCTTATAGTTATCAAGCTAAAAATCTCTTTAAGTTTTCAGGAAAAAGGTATGTTTTGTAATCACGATCTATATTGTGAATGAGGACTGTATATGTTCTTTTGAGTAATTTTCTGTGAATTATTTTGACTATACAATTAACCAATCTGATTAGAACTGACTCAGTTTGCATTGAAAAAGTAAAGTAACACAGGAAATACATTATAATACATAAGTATATGGGGAAAAAATGTTTGACTGGCCCTCTGTAAGTTTTGTTTAAGAGGTATCAGATAAAGACTTAACTATTATTTTTGTTCTGTTGCAGGGATTTCTCCAAAGTTAATATCCTGGTACCTGGTGCTGGGCTAGGTAGATTGGCGTGGGAAATAGCTATGCTCGGTTATGCTTGCCAAGGAAATGAATGGAGCCTCTTTATGCTCTTTTCTTCTAACTTTGTTCTCAACAGGTACATAGCTTATGTTTTACTTGCTGATTGAAATCTAGGGAGGCAAAATTATAAATCAGAAAAACTTGAATAAATAAACTGAAAGAATAGATTTGTAAGTCCTAACACAGGACCCGCATAACCACTTTCTAGAATGTTTTAATGAAAAAATAAATTGGTGTGATAAACGGGGAAGGGAAGCATCGTATCTGAGTCATTACCATTACAGTAGGAAGCAGGGCTTTTAAATTATGAGACTTAATCTCTAGATTGTACCACAGATTTTCTACACAATCTTGAGTAGGTTTTATGGCTTATTTCACATCTGTTTCTGTAAAATGCATCTCTATCTCACCAGTGTCAAATATAGACTAGTGTATATATGTATGGTATTTAATGGTGGTGATTAGTAACAGGGGAAACCTGTTAAAGCCTTACATTCCATACTACGATTTTAGGCACTGTTTCAACATGAAAAGCAATCTCCAAAGCACATAGAACCACTTCTTAAGCAAGTACTGTCACTGAGTAACAGTTAAAATAATATAATTAATAGTCCTACAAAATCTGAATGTAGTAAGTTACACTTTATATGTTTAGTCTGGAGCAGCATTTCTGTATTTGATATTGTATCACTTGCATGGGAAGTTACTGGTTTCATCATTAACTCGTTAGAAAGGAAAGGGCAGCAAATGCAACTGTTCTTTTAAGAAAGAGGATGAGAAGGCTATGGGTGGGCACATATGAAAGAGGTCTGGGAGGAGGATATTCTGTGTTTTAGGGGAGCTGGTACCACGTTCAGAGACAAAATTTGCCAGTTCACTCATTCTTTAATGTGAAATCATAGAATCACAGAATGCTTTGGGTTGGAAGGGACCTTTAGAGGTCATCTAGTCCAACCCCGCTGCAGTAAGCAGGGACATCTTCAACCAGACCAGATTGCACAGAGCCCAAACCAACCTGACCTTGAATGTCTCCAGGGATGGGGCCAACCTGTTCCAGTGTTTCACCACCCTCATTGTAAAAATATCTTCCTTATATCCAGTCTAAATTTACCCTCCCTTAGTTTAGAGCCATTACTCTTCGTCCTGTCACAACAGGCCTTACTAAAATGTCTGTCCCTAGCTTTCTTATAGACGCCTTTAAGTACTGAAGGGCCACAATAAGGTCTCCCTACAGCTTTCTGCAGGCTGAAAACACCTGAACTATTGGCTTGTATTCTATATATCATGATGTTAATGGAGCCCTGTTTGTAGACTGTTTGTCCACAGCAGACTGTTATGTTCTTAAATTTGTTAATAGCTTACTGTTCTAAAACAACAAGGGAAAGCACTTCATTATGGCTGCTGCATGTCTGCTTAAAACAGTAATGGTTAATGTGATGACAATAAATATTTGCTCGAGATTTGTTCTTTTTCTTATGTTATTCTTAAATTACTCATCTGATGGTGAAATTGTGTATTACAGATGAGCTGATGTAATGCCTTGCAGCTACTGAAAAGAGGTCACATTCTTACTGTCCTTAGCTGTACAGCCCTGCTGGGTCTTACGCTCCTTGGAACTTTTGGAATTATTCAAAGCAGCATAAAACTATTCATTTCCTATCTTTGGGAACACTGATCAGCTGTCATACTTGCTCAAATCTGAAAGTTAACTTCACCCATAATTAGCTCTGATGACATATTTTTATATTCCATAAATGATGAGTCTTTGGCCTATGTGTGGAATTCTCCTGAAGACCCTTGCTTAGCGTATGATAGTAATAATTCTTAGCATCTAGTGCTCATTAGGTGTTTTCTGTGTAAGATATTTAACAAAGAGATGTATATGCAGTAGTCTTGCTAGAAGTGCTAGATTTTAGACAGCAAAATTGGATTTTGCTCAGCTGCTGTAATCTTCATCTTTTCTGAGCAAGTTATCAAGTCTCCTTGTTAGCATGGAAGAAAATAACTGCTAACCTGACTCAATTTCAGTCAGTTTAGTTGAAGCCCAACTGTGGGCTTGGGATGTCTATTAAGAAAGTTTTAGGGACTCTGAGGACCTTTCATTTTAGTCTTAAGTGGCTGTTCCCAGTTAGCCATCTGAAATGGGCATGTTTGTGTTCCTGGAACTGGGAGAAAAGGCAATGATCATTGTGAGCTGAAGATAACAGCTCAGGAAGAGTGGTAAGAAAGAAGGATTTTGCAAATTAGTTTTTAACTGCATTCTTAATTAATTTTTGTTTTCAGTTGATAAAACATGAAGATTTTGCTAACGTGCTTACAGTTTGGATCTGTCTTCTTTCTCTGACCTGGGTTTATTTTTAGGAAGACAAGGTACTATATTGAGTGTCAAGCCAGCTACTACAGTTGGCTCCTAGATGTGGTACAGTGACTTAAGTCTTCTGTATACAAAGCAGTATCTGCTGATTTTTACTCATGTAAAAAAACTTAATTCTCTTAAATTGTGAACGTTTGTTACTGTGGATAAAGTTGCATAGCATGTTGTGCGCATCAAAGTGTAACTGTGGTCACTGTATGTATTTGAAATTAATTAGAGTGCATTACTCCATTGAGGAAGTTATAATTTTAAAATGAAGTGACCCTGGACTACTTAAGCTACAATGGCTTCAAGCCCTCTGCAGTCCTTGTATGGGAAATCGTGCCTTTTCTTGTATGACTAAGGTTGTTTTTGCTGGTGTCTTTTTCTAGGGTTTAGATGATTTCTGGATAGAATGACAGATGGCAGAGATGATCATTGGTGATGTAGACACACTTAAATGTTTTGGAAGAGCAAGAACTGTGAAAAGCATAATCTGTTTTTCTGCCTCTGGGAAGCATACCAAGATTTTCAGGCAGTCTAGAGCCACAGCACACGTTACTTTGATACCTGACAGGAGGAGGCACACCACTAGGGTGGTACCTGTGTGGAGGAGACAGGACCAGCTGGTTGCTGACTTGCTTCTTCCTGCAGCTGGAGATTTAGGGCACAGGCCAGTACCCTCAGTGCAGCAGCCCTTCAGAGCAGTTGCTCACAAATATTTGTGAAATTTGAATATAGAATCACTTTGTACCCAAGCCAGAGTAGTATTAGTTTAAAAAAAGCTTTAACAAATACCAGTACAATTCATGCTAATAATTGGCTAATCTTAATCTTTACTTTCTGGAAATAGTGTAATTTTAGATAAATCTTGACACTTTGAGAAGGCTGCTTAATTGTAGTTGTGGCGTGTGCATGAGTGCCTTAGGATGAAAACAGTTAAGCATTGTATCAATGGTCAGAAGTAAGATTTTTACCTACACTTTTTTTATCTTTTCCAGAACTGCCTTTTTTGACTCAATGTTGAACAGTAAATGACCTGCCCCTATGGAAAAAAGTGACATGTCACACTTATCGGTGTTATATCAGAACTTACATCATATATCTTTTATTGGGAGGATGGAATTGTAAAGGACTGCAGTATTTAGTTTTGAAGGATAAATTACTGAAGCTGGAAAGGGAGGTTTTCAGGCTTTTTATATAGAGAGGGATTGGTCTTTTACACTAAATTATGAATTCCTTTTGAAACTATTTGAAAGTTTACATGAATATACTTTGTGCTGGAGAAAAAAAAACCACAGGGAGGTGTGTGTTCCCTTATAGCTCAGAAGAAAAAACCTTTCTAATCTACTCAGTTTTCTTATTTTCTTTACCTTGCTTTTGAGGAAATTTTTATTAAGGAAAAACATTCTAGGGATAATACAAATTGACTGGGAGCACATGGAGAATGCTAGAAAGGTGAACACAACTTACGTTGACATGGGTTTTTCTTGGTTTGTGGGGTTTGTTTTCATTTTGTTTTGTTTTATTGTTTTGAGTTTTTATTGTTTGTTTGGTTTTGTGGTTTTTTTTAACCAAAATAGAAATGTCTTTCTAGAAGAAAATTATAGCCATGTTACAGGGTTTTAACCCTGTTTTTTTTTTTTTAAATTTTAACTGATTGCATATATCTGAATGTTTATTCATTATATATGGAAACAGTTGATAAGCACAATGTACTGCTGCTCTAATCAGGTTGGTTTTGTATTTTTTTTTAAACTGATAAAAGGAAATACAAATATGACATGAAAGTAAATGTTACTTCAGAAACTTACCACAGATGTTTTCTATCCACCAGGCGAAGGAGTGCACTTTCTATAACTCAGTAGATTGTTCGTGATTTATGAAGTGTTTGATGATACGTTTTATGGGACAGATGTGTCCTCTATTGTCTGTGGAAGAAAATGGCTTTATTTTTTAAATTACAAACTGATTTTACAGGACTATGGGAAAAGCTGCTTTTCATACTTTAATGCTATTTTTTATCACTTTTTAAGATAAGATTTTACTTACTTGGTCATGTCAACAGACACATTTTGTTTTACAAATATGTCTGCTTACTGTAATTGCAGCATTCCAGATGTTACAAACTTAAAATTACATGTAGTGCAAAACTACTATGCTTTGCAAATTTTTTGAAATCTAAAAGAATCCTTTCAGTTAGTGTCTAAAAAATGCTTTTGTTCTGTTCTGCTTCAACCCCACACCCCCCATTATTATGGTTTACAAAATACAAAGTCTAGAATGAGAGCAGATGTTTCCAATAAAATTCATGGAACTAATGTTACTTTTCTTTTTGTTTTTTTTTGAAGTGGAAATAAATTACCCAGAAAGACTTAGCTTTACTGAATATACTAAATCGTAGATTTCATTACTCTTAAAAAAGAATTTTATGCACTTTCTTTTCAGTGAAGAAAGAAGTCAGGGATAATGGTAAAAAGTGGGAAAATAAAGTTGTAAAATTTAAAAAAGGCAACTATCTTGTGGTGATAATTTGCGTGTCAGAGTAAAATTGGTTTTTACATCAGTTTGTAAATAGATGGGCATTCTGAAATGTTCTGAATTAGGTAAAGTCCTTTTGAAAACTGTTGCTTTTGCCAAGTACTTTATCAACAAAGCAGGGGATGTTGGTGAAAGTCTTTGACTCCTACATTTCTAAATAATTGATAAGCAACTGGTTGAAACTGTTGATTAGTTGATTTCTGTATTTTGCAGATGCTCTGAAATTAACTCATGTAAGCTTTATCCCTGGATTCATCAGTTTAGCAATAACAGAAGATCTGCTGATCAGATACGTCCAATTTATTTCCCTGATGTTGACCCTCACAGTCTTCCTTCTGGTTCAAACTTCTCTATGACAGCAGGGGATTTTCAAGAAATTTACTCCGAGTGCAGTGAGTAAATGTAAACTTCTAGGCTATCGATGTAACTGTTTTTTCACTGGTTTTTGCTGTGGGACAGTTGGTAATTACAAATAGAAGGGAACTGTATCTCCAAGCATTGAGCAAAAAGTACCAACTGTAGCAAGATTTTCTTATTCTTTTCTTTTCTTGGTTATAAAAAAATATGGACACCTCCTTGCCTAACAGATCTTTGTTGCAGTGGTCTCTTTCAGAATAATACAGCGTAGTATTGTTACGGAAAGTTTTACTTGATTTAGAAAAGTGATGTTACAAAGGAAGCAATGTGATTTTAATGCAAAAAATAAAAAATAAGAGGTTTTTTTGTTGATTCATTTCCTCCTTGTAAAAGCAAAGCAAGCTGTTTCAGTAATAGTAAATTATAAATGAAATAAACATACTTACTGACTGTCAATAGTAAATATTTCTGAGACATGTTACGAGGATGATGATTATCAAAGATTGAGACTTCTGTCAGTATAAGTAATCTTATTCTTTTTCTTGTGGTAGCAGGTTAGTTATGCTGTCCTCATGACAGCTACAAAGTAATGTTTTGTGACTAACCTAATGTTGAATTAACCTGCAGAAGACAATCTTTAGTGCCTACTCTACCAATTATGTATTTAGGATTTGATCAAGGGTAGCACTTACCCAGTTCTTTTATATGAAGTCTAACATTCTAATATATGCATGTTTAGGAGTTACTATTTTTTCTGTACACTGTATTGGATTATCACCCCAGACAACTATTTTCTGTTTCCACCTTCCTTTCTGTCCCTTTTAGATCCATAGCAGTTTTTGTTACCAGGATTATATAGCTATTGATCTGCCCTGTACTGTGCTGCTAGACTTCCAGGTGTTTTCTTGTAGGAGTCTTCCTTGTAGTAGGTTAAGTTTCTGAAGGTTCTGTCTTATGTCAGAGCATCTCATACTGGCTTAAGTTTGAGGCTTAATTGTTTTATTTACAGAATTTAAAACTTGCCATTTCAAGGTTGCATGTTTAGAGAAAACCAGGGAGACTCATACTTTGAAAGATCCTGCTTGTTAAATTCACTAGTAAAAAAACAGATGGAGAAATATTCAGATAATGAATAAAATGTTTTAAAGCTATGTGATTTGTCAAAGTACATTTTGGTGTACAGACTTGTATTGATCTAGATATTAACTAGAGAAACACAAAATCACAGGGTATTTTTGCAGTTGTATTTCTAACAGTTGTGGAAATAAAGCTCATAAACAGGCGAGTAATAGTACACTTGGCCCTTCATTTATATAAAATGTGTTATAATCTTTACATTTTACAGTATATAATATAAATATGTCTCATACAGAATGAACAAATTTATAAAATGCATCATTAATAAATACGTATAATATTTTAATGTGTATGTGTCTATACACAGACACACATATGTATAGGTCACACAAACCCAAACTTAACTGTTGTTAACATAAACCAAAATATTCTATTTACTTATATTTATTTACAAATGAAGTTAAGAGCCTTCAATTGTTGTTTGTTTGAAGGTAATGCTGACTGTGTAAACAAATACTGGGGTTAAATGATAATGTTTCTGGCTCTGTAAAAGTTTGAAACTAACCTGTATAATTTGCTTTTTTTGTGCAGATACATGGGACTGCATAGCAACTTGCTTTTTCATAGATACAGCACATAACGTTATTGATTACATAGACACTATATGGAAAATTCTAAAGCCTGGAGGAATATGGATAAATGTAGGCAAGTGTGACCAACCTCTCTCCCTGCTAGCCTTGACTTAAGTTTGATCACATGACTGGCATATAGTACTTGAAGAGAGTTGTGGAGATGAATGTGCTGAAAACTCTGTAGAGCTAGAATCCTCTAGGGCTTGGAAATTCTCTCAGATGTGTTCAGAATATGTCTAGATGTTTGCTAGTTGCAATCAAGTCAGTTGATGTGATTTTTAAATAGCGAAGTAAATCGTCCCAGTGATAGGTTTTGCATTCATACATCAAACATTTATTTGACAAATGTTGTGTCCTGCTTGGTTTTTTTGCTGTTTTTCCTGTTCTGTGTATAAATACATCCTTGCATTTTTTGTCTTAATCTGTTGTCTAATTTGTACTGTGCTTCTAAGCAGAAGTTTTGGCAATGAGATTTGGCTGAAATTTGTTATAAAAATATTTGAGTGATAGCAATATGGGGTTTTTTTGGCTGTGTTTGAATAAGTGAGTCTGGATATAAGCATTTTTCCACTTGCACTGTGTGCTTTTGATTTTTAAAACATTTTTGTCTTTCTAATAGCCATTTCTGTTGTATCTTTATATTCTAGGACCTCTCCTTTACCACTTTGAAAACTTGGGAAATGAACTTTCTATAGAATTAAGCTATGAGGATATAAAAAATGTTATACTGCAATATGGATTCCATATAGAGGTAAGAAGATGCTGTAGTTTGTAATAAGTAGGTATTGGTATAAGCCAGACAAATGCCTTTGAATAAACTTTTACCTTAAATTTAGTTAAGCATAATGGCATATAATTGTGTCTTCTAGGAGAATTAAATATTTGTAAGTGTGCTGCCAATTATTTGCTTTCCTCATTTTTTTAAAAAATTGTATAGATAGGCCTTAAAATCTGGTAAGTTTATAGCATTCTCTTATTAAGAGAAACTTGTGTAGTTTTTGTACAGAAGGTGTTTTGAAACCTGCTGCTTTTTTTTTTCAGGTGGAGAATGAATCTGTACTGTCAACTTACACTGTGAATGAACTCTCCATGATGAAATACTACTATGAATGTGTGTTGTTTGTGGTGAGAAAACCAGAATAGAAGTGGTCTGAATTAGGTTAATCAGGAAAAAAATGTTGGCTTGAAAGCTAGAAATGAAGATAAAATGGACTGGGTGACGTCTGGACAAAACCTCAAATCAGTGGTGCCTTCTTGTTCCTAACAGGATTTAGATAGTGTCTATTTTCTTAGTATCTCTGTTGCTATCCGGACATGTACTATGCCATGCATATTTTTAATATACTTGAGGAAAATGGAGGAGGAAATGTTCACATACCTTGTCTTTGTGCTATGGAATGCATTATAAATAAAAGCAAAAATGTTCTATTGAGAATAAAATTAATGTTTGCCATAACTAGGCTAATTCTCTGCATATGCTGCCTCATTTTTAATAAATTAAAAGATTTTCCTTTTTCTACTTTCTGATGTTAGGAATGCATAGAGGTGCTTACTGTACTAGATGCATCACATTTAGGGAAGTATTTCTAAACATACTTAAATTAAGAAGTCTGAAATGGTGGGAAAGTGTTAAAATTATTCTTGATATAGTAACCATCAGAACTGTTACAGCATTTTCTGTGGAACTGAAACAAAGTAGATTATTGTACAAATTCTAATTTTTCACTGTACCACTGTTCACAATTGAAACAAAACACAGAACCTGTAGGCAATTTGAAATACTATGTGAAAACAGAATACTAAGTCAAGAAACAGCAGCATGTCAAAGAGAAGCAGTAGGTTAGCCTCAGTTCAGGAACACCACCAATTTTGATTAATCTCTTAGTGTTGAAGCTGAAATACATTAGATGCTTTGTCATCTTAAAATACATTCATTTTGAGCCACCAACTTACTGCTTAAGCCAAAACAGTGAAGGAGTATTTTCTGTTAAACATAATTAGCGGAAGGTGAGCTCTATTTCTTTTTTTGAAGTTGATAACATAGCAGAGTTATGCATGCCATGTGCAGGTAATGCAACAGAAAAATACCTGTTACTCAAGAGGGGTGGGGGGAGTGGAGTTACATGTAAATAATGTGCTGTAACCTTATCACCTCTGCTTGAGTCAGCATATGCAGGCCAGCTGACAGACAACTTCGCTGTAACTTCAGGAACTTTACCCTTGTGACTTCTTGGTTCCTTATCCTAATGTGTTGGGGTTTTTTTCCTGGCAGATGTGGCTTAGGTAAATATTTAATCTGCAAATTGTATACAAGAGACTGAATCTTCTGTCACTTAGAGATGGGAAAAATACTAATTAATAATCACTGTGCTGAGAGGCAGTGTCACCTTAGCAGTTTAGTTTTCCTAATATATGGGTTATTTTAAGTACCATTTTTATCCATTTTCAAGAATGTCTTTAAAATATGAAAACCTTCTTGATGTCTTGTAATGTTTTTATGTTTGGTAGTAATGGCACTGTACAATAGCCTTTTTGCCTCCCGTTAGTTCTAGTCCCTTTTTTCATGGTGATGTTCTAATTGCATCTCTTTAATAGATTTGTTACTGGCTTTTGGGTTTTTCCCATTAAGGCCAGAAATTCGTGCCTTTGTTCCTAAATTGAATGCCTGCAAGGAGGGAAAACATCAGCTTTTCTTTATTTTTATATATATATAGTTTTAACACTGCGTAAGAGAGTGCCCACCTGGGTACGTTTCAGTACTGCTCAGAATCCTTACAGAGAATAAAGGCTTCTAGTCTACAGAAGCTTTCATTTGGAGCTTTGCTTAAACTAGTCTTACTTGAACTGTCTTTGCTTCCTAAAAGTGCACCACCAAGATTTAGCTGCATAACTGTACTGTCAGAGTTCTACCCTCATCCAAGAAAAATGTGTTTGAAGCTGAGACAATGCCATTGCAGCAAGTAGATGAGAAATAAAAGCCCTTGCACACCTGAATTCTTTTAAAGTTGCTTTCATTTCCGTATTGTGCTATTTATTTTTGAGAGACTTTGTGATTCTTTGCTTGCTTTCTATGTTTTTTATTTCGTTAGGTAAAATATGATTAGTATTTTATTTTATTTTCAAATTATTTTAAATAAGACAAAGTTAGGTGAATGCCATTGCATGTACCTGTTGTATTTTCCAGTTTCTGCCTCCTACCCACTCTGTGGTTGCACTGGAAATGTGGTGGTCTTGTTTTCCGCACGTAGGCAACTGGATTCCTGCTTTTTGGTTGAATATCAATAACCTTTCTTCTGGCAGTTTTGTTCTTGGCCACCCCATGTTGTCACAAGTGCCATTTTTTCTATTGTTTCTGGAAAATGTTTTTATTTACTTAGGTATATAGTAATGTGCTTCTATTTCTCTCCTAGAAAATGCCATTTTCCCCAGTGTTTTAAATTACAGGAGCTGCATTAAGAGTTGGAAGCAGAACAATCTCATGAACAAGCTGTGTGAGTTGGTAGTTTTACCTGCAGTCCCATTCATGAGTTCTTAAACTCGTGTTTTTATGCACAGGGATAATTGTGTATTATCAAATGTTATCATGTTCTTCTTTTCAGTTGTATACGTGGGGGAGAAGGGAGGGGAGGGGAAATGCTTATAGTGTTTTATCAGCTGAAGCCAAGACTATTTAATGTAGGTCCCTATTTTACTGTATGTGGTATCAGGTGTAAGAGTAAATGCTGCATCATATTCAGTGTAATACTTCTTTATCTGGAGTAAGTTTGACAAATGTGAAGTGTCCTGTATTTTTATCTATGTGTAGTAGATGATGAAGTTAAGAAGGGGAAGCTTCGTGTCTCCACCTATTCCCCTATTTTCGGTGTGTGTAACGGCCTTGATTATTCTTGGATATTAAAGTTTGCAGTGTGACGTGACGCCGCTGACGTCTCATTGTACCTTTACTGTGATGATCGTCTCTGTTCCCGCTTTCTGGACCGCGGCTGTACCGGTCCCACTGGGCGGTGCGGCGGGAGGGCGGTGCGGCGGG